CTGTATATAAAAAAAAATCTATTTTTTCTTTGGGAAATAGCGAATAATAACTAATAGCGAACTTTTTTTAACTTCTTTCCAATATTTTAAAGCGAATAAAGTCTTCTATATGTGAATAAAGGCTGAAAACGGGACAGAAGTCATATCAGGAGTCACGCACACATCACACCCCGTAACTCCCTATAATATTAACCTATAAATTTCAAACTCCGCCCAAACTTAGAATTTAATGTATCCAGCAATTGTACCGAAGGATTTTTTTATATACCAATTAGTGGGCCCACAATCTGCCAAAATAAGTTTTGTTTACTAACCGGGCGGTGGTGTTTTAAGCTAAATATTCGCGGTCAGGCATGTGAATCATGGCGCAGTTGGTAAAGCTGTGTGGCAAGTTAAATTTGTTGTTCCAGGAGCCATGGGTTCGAAACCTTGCGACGGTCAACATTCAAATTTTTTCTTTTTTTTTATATTATTTTTTTAATATATATTTTTATATTTTAACGTGAATCAAGTGTTCTGTATAATAAAAAAAACTATTTTTTCTTTGGGAAACAGCGAATAATAGCTAATAATCGGATAAATTTCGGATAAATTTTATTTATTTATTTATTTTAATTTTACTATTTTTTTAACTTCTTTTCAATATTTTAAAGCGAATAAGGTCTTCTATATGTGAAAAAAATATTTTTCTTTGTTAAAGAGCGAATAAAGGCTGAAAACGGGACAGAAGTCATATCAGGAGACACGCACAGATCACACCCCGTAACTGTCTATAATATTAACCCATAAATTTCAAACTCCGCCCAAAATTAGAATTTAATATATCGAACAATTTTACCGAAGGATTTTTTTATATACCAATTAGTGGGTCCACAATCTGCCAAAATAAGTTTTGTTTACTAACCGGGAGGAGGTGTTTTAAACTAAATATTCGCGGGGTTGGCAAGACATGCATGGCGCAGTTGGTAAAGCTGTGTGGCAAGTTAGATTTGTTGTCCCGGGGGCCATGGGTTCGAAACCCTGTTGTGGTCGACATTCAAATTTTTCCTTTTCTTATATATTATTTTTTTAAATATATTTTGTGATATTTTAACGTGAATCAAGTGTTCTGTACATAGTAAAAAAACTATTTTTTCTTTGGAGAATAGCGTATAGTAGCTAATAAACGGATAAATTTCGGATAANATAGCGAATAGTAGCTAATAATCGGATACATTTCGGATAATTTTTATTTATTTATTTATTTTAATTTATATTATATTTTTAACTTCTTTTCAATATTTTAAAGCAAATAAAGAGTTCTATATGAGAGAAGAAATATTTTTCTTTGCTAAAGAGGGAAAAATGGCTGAAAAAAGGACAGAAGTCATATCAGGAGGCGACGCACACATCACACCCCGTAACTCCCTATAATATTAACTTATAAATTTCAAACTCCGCCCAAAATTAGAATTTAATATATAAAACAATTTCACCGAAGGATTTTTTTATATTATATCGAACAATTTTACCGAAGGATTTTTCTAAAGACTAATTAGTGGGCCCACAATGGGCCAAAATAAGTTTTGTTTACTAACCGGGATAAGGCGTTTTAAGCTAAATATTCGCGGAGTAGGAATGTGAAGCATGGCGCAGTTGGTAAAGCTGCGTGGCAAGTTAGATTTGTTGTCCCGGGGGCCATGGGTTCGAAACCCTGCGAGGGTCGATTTTCAAATTTTTCTTTTCTTTGTATTATTTTTTTAAATATATTTTTTGATATTTTAAACTGTATCAAGCGTTCTGTATATAAAAAAAATCTATTTTTCTTTGGGAAATAGCGAATAATAGCTAATAAACGGATACAATTCGGATAATTTTTATTTATTTATTTATTTTAATTTATATTATATTTTTAACTCCTTTTCAATATTTAAAAGCGAATTAAGTCTTCTATAAGTGAAAAGAAATATTTTTCTTTGTTAAACAGTGAATAAAGGCTGAAAAAGGGGCAGAAGTCATATCATTAGGCAAGCACACTTCACACCCCGTAACTCCCCATAATGTTAACCGATAAATTAGAAACTCCGCCCAAAATTAGAATTTAATGTATGAAACAATTGTACCGTTTTTTTATATACCAATTAGTGGGCCCACAATCTGCCAAAATAAGTTTTGTTTCCCATCCGGGAGGAGGTGTTTTAAGCTAAATATTGGCGGGGCAGGCATATGAATCATGGCGCAGTTGGTAAAGCTGTGTGGCAAGTTAGAATTGTTGTCCCGGAGGCCATGGGTTCGAAACCCTGCGAGGGTCGATGTTCAAATTTTTTCTTTCCTTTACATTATTTTTTTAAATTTATTTTTTGATATTTTAACCCGTATCAAGCGTTCTGTATATAAAAAAAAACTATTTTTTCATTGGGAAATAGCGCATAATAGCTAATAAACGGATAAATTTTATTTATTTATTTATTTTAATTTATATTATATTTTTAACTTCTTTTCAATATTTAAAAGCGAATAAAGTCTTCTATAAGTGAAAAGAAATATTTTTCTTTGTTAAACAGTGAATAAAGGCTGAAAAAGGGACAGAAGTCATATCATTAGGCACGCACACATCACACCCCGTAACTCCCTATAATATTAACCTATAAATTAGAACCTCCGCCCAAAATTAGAATTTAATGTATGAAAAAATTGTACCGAAGGATTTTTTTATATACCAATTAGTGGGCCCACAATGGGCCAAATAAAGTTTTGTTTACTAACCGGGATAAGGCGTTTTAAGCTAAATATTCGCGGAGTTGGCATGTGAAGCATGGCGCAGTTGGTTAAGCTGTGTGGCAAGTTACATTTGTTGTCAGATTTGTATTTCAATTCAGGTAAAAAATTGAAAACGAAATAAAAACTTGTAATATAATTGGTAAAAACAACAGACAAGAGAAAAATATCTAAAAAGGAAAGAAAGTCATCAAAGGCCGCTGGATTGAAAATCAACTATCCAGTTTCACCCTAAGCTCCAGAATTTTTCTTGGGATATTCATCCTCTTTTAGATGCACCTTGATAATTTTTTTTAAAATTTTTTTCCGCACATGCGCTGTATAAAGCAACTACTTCAATTACTTTTATTTCGCGCAGTTTTTATTATTATTTTTTTTAATTTTAAAGCAATAATTTCGTTATCAGTTTAAAATTGATTCAAACGCTTTGTTTAATTTTTTCTAAATAAGCTATAGCAAAAGTGGCACTAGACCTAATATATATTTCGGACATTTATCAAAGATTTAGTCATACTAGGTCTGGATAAGTGCCATTGCCCGGTATACCCTACACTGATGTTTTTTTAAGGTCAAGTGCCATTGCCCGGTATACCCTACACTGACGTTTTTTAAGCTAAATATTCGCGGCGCAGGCGTATGAATCATGGCGCAGTTGGTAAAGCTGAGTGGCAAGTTAGATTTGTTGTCCCGGGGGCCATGGGTTCGAAACCCTGCGAGGGTCGATATTCAAATAAAAAAAACTATTTTTTCTTTGGGAAATAGCGAATAATGGCTAATAATCGGCAAAATTTCGTATAAATTTTATTTATTTATTTATTTTAATTTATATTATTTTTTAAACTTCTTTTCAATATTTAAAAGCGAATAAAGTCTTCTATATGTGAAAAGAAATATTTTTCTTTGTTAAAGAGCGAATAGCGGCTGAAAACGGGACAGAAGTCATATCAGGAGGCACGTACACATCACACCCCGTAACTCCCTATAATATTAACCTATAAATTTCAAACTCCTCCCAAAATTAGAATTTAATGTATCTAAAATTTTAACCGAAGGAATTTTTTATATACCAATTAGAGGGCCCACAATCTGCCAAAATAAGTTTTGTTTACTAACCGGGAGGAGGTGTTTAAAGCTAAATATTCGCGGGCAGGCATGTGAATCATGGCGCAGTTGGCAAAGCTGAGCGGCAAGTTAGATTTGGTGTCCCGGGGGCTGTGGGTTCGAAACCCTAAGGCGGTCGACATTCAAATTTTTTCTTTTTTATATATTATTTTTTTTAATATATTTTTTGATATTTTAATGTAAATCAAGTGTTCTGTATATAAAAAAAAACTATTTCTTCTTTGGCAAATAGCGTATAATAGCTAATAAACGGATAAATAAGGAACTACTTCCACAGCTTTTATAGTCTTTATTTTAATGGAAGAATGAGAATAAAAGATTTTAAAATGAGTAAAAGAAGAAATAAGTACATATTTCATAAATATTTTTCGATGCATTTTTATTCTATTTTCTTTTTTGCATTTCTTATTGTAAATAAATTGTTTACTTTATAATACATCATGCCTGTAACAAATTCCCTTAAATTTGCTGCCATCTGTATATAGTATAAAAAACTATCGTTCGGAATGAAGTTAAATACTGTTGAATTAAAAGTTCATCGAAAGAAAATTAAAAAAAGAAATGATTGGAACTTCAAAAAAAGGAATTGGTCAAGTTTTATATTCCAGGTAATATAAGATAAAAAATAGTAACAATTATCATATAATAAGAGCATAATTATATTTCGTTTGCTGTAATTTCTTAGTTAACTCTGAAAGTATTTTTTCGCTCACACGAAACAAAACATCTCTTAATAATCGTCTTGAAAATGGCTCGGGCACGTTTATCTTTTAGATATTTTGAAATCTTCCCTTATGAAATAGAAAATAATTAAGACATTCATCGGCGAAATATCGTATTTAGTATCCACGAATGAACCTGATCAACATGAATGTTCGTTAATAATACTAAGTTAAATAAATGTTAAATGATATTAAAAATAAGCACGCAGACAATCTTTCAATTCTATATGCTGATAATTTATAAATTTCAATTCATAAATTTTCATTGAATTTGAAAACTGTTACTTTTTGCTTGGTAACAAAAAGGTTAAGCTTTTCTTCACCAGTACTTGAAATAATTTAAAAAGTTATATTAAGAATCAGCTAGACTNAACAAAAAGGTTAAGTTTTTCTCCACCAATTCTTGAAATAATTTAAAAAGTTATATTAAGAATCAGCTAGACTTATTGCCTTGTTTTTAAGTTCTGATAAAAGTTGTGCCAACATTCTATTTGTTTTAAAAATTTTACTTAAATTTAAGAAAAATGAAAAGCAGCATGGTGTCAATTTTATAAAATATACATTAAAAAGGAAAAGGAAATCAATAAATAAAAAGACATAAGTTTTTACATAATGAGTACTTGCTTTGCCATTGAAATCTAACTGTTGCATTTCTTGATCAGAATTTCCAATCCCAATGAAAGCGCATAATTGAGAGCCTTGCTCACTTTCACCATCTCGAACTATTTGCTCCTGTTTTTTCCTCCAACCATCTCCAAGTAGATAGACAGATGGGGGACGGCAAAAAAACCTAAAAATGCATGATTTTGTACGTCAGCAGTTTTAAAAGCAATAAAATTACAGTCATACATCTACATTACAAATTCAAAGAGAAAGCAAGAAAATATGTTAATGAATGAAAACGGTAATTTGTTTAACATTTTCACCAAAATAATAACTGTGTTGGCCTTTTAAATTTTATAAAGCACGTATTTGCCTCAAAAAACAGTTACTTCTGACATAGCCAAATTTTCTGACATGACCAAATTTTTCAACAAAAAATAAGAACCTTTTAAGCCTTNACAGTTACTTCTGACATAGCCAAATTTTCTAACATAACCAAATTTTTCAACAAAAAATAAGAACCTTTTATAAATATTTTGTGAAATAAAATATTTGGCTATCAAAAGGAGTCTCCCCCCCCCCTCCTTCACCGTTAGAAAAACAAATGTAATTCAAGTTCATGATATACAGGTTTAACTATAATTTTAAGTTATAAAAGAAAAAAATAACATTTTTACCTTTTTTCACTGCCATATGATTTTTGAGCAACTTTAGCATGCAGGATAACAAGCACCATATCACCCCTTTCTCTCAAATATTTTTTCATACATTCCCTGGAAACAAAAATAGTAATGCTAAATAAGTTTTATATCATAGTATAAATAGGAAAAAAAATGTCAAGTGGAATAAATAGTAAGTTTTAATTCTAAATAATTACATAGGATGAAAATCATTTTAGAAATATTAAAGTAACCTATCTCTAATTATAAGCATTTTAAACCTGATTTTGATTTTTAAAAGCTCTTCCGCCAAGAAAAATAAAATACACTAGCTTAAATTATTTAAACTTAAAGTAAAGCTTCAGTTTCGTAAGATATGTAATCTTTCAGGTGGGAATTAACTAGATTGTATTTTAACATATTTTAAAAATATACTAATGGGTGATATTTTTCTCCCCTGTGGCACCCATTAGTATATTTTTATTATTAGTATTAGCATATTGTCACAGAACAATACCGAGTTCTTGAAAAAAGATTTTTCTGTTAGGAAGTAAATAATTTTGGTTTTCTTCTCAGCAGAAATTTTCATTCTAGTAATTTTTTTATTTAGTTATTACTTTTGATTTCACATAGTTTTTAAAATCCTATATTACTAATTTGATATTATTTATTACAGCAACTGAATCTTGAAATGAAAACACGCATTTAGTAACCCTTTTTCGAAGAAACCGATT